TATACCTATATATAAATAAATTAAAACTGCTGTTAAGAATCAAAATTTGATATTAAAATGGTATGTTTAATTTAAATCAGATATGATTTTTGACGACTATGAATAATGGAAATATAAGGACTTCTTTATATAGAGTAAGTAAACTGTGACATAGTCTGCAAATACTTGTCTAGCGGCCGATTTGTCACACTTCCACCGTGTTAGCAAGTTCTTCTGGAGTGGGACTATAACGATCTGGTATTTTGTCCGTATTTGGACGCGTGATCTCTAGTGTATTGCCGTTTTACAAGGAACACGTTTTCTCAATCGAGCTCACTATGTCACGTGGAGTGCCACACGTTTCTTTATATCTTTTTATTACCGGATTGAAACACTTTGCCGATATAAGTTTCTATAAATAAGTGTTCAATCAGTTCATAGGTAAATTAAGAAAAATTTTGGCCATTTTTGCAAATCATCAATAATAATTATATTTTAAAAGTAAGCACTCAACAGTAGTTCTAGATCCTATACGATCAATTTTTTTTAAATCAGTTGTCAGTGTACGAATTTAAAAAAAAACTGCTATTCTACCCTTAAAGGTTACTATCTTTGTGCAGGGTGTTCCATCGGTTTTAGTATAGGATTTTTTGTTATCTAAATTTCAAGATAGAAACTCCAAATTCCTCATTTTTTCAAGATAAAACTCGGCAAATAACTATATTTGGAAAAAATAGAAGATTTAAGTGGGAGAAATCAAGGTTCACAAGTTGTCAAGACTTCCATTGACATTTAAGTAAACCTAATATTACGACTGACAACAATTTACAAACATTTATTTGGAAAGGAATTGCTCAGAAAAAGACTCGCTTTATATTTAAAGTAATTATTAGACGTGAAGAAGTAAGCGTCTAAGTAGCAAAGTAGCGACTTTGCTATTTTTAAATTTGTTAATAATCAGAAAAATTTAATTATGTAGTATTTTATGTCAATTTAAGTTATTAAACGACAAAAAAAACCGTTAAACTATTAAAATGTTAAAATGCATTTTAAATAACGGTGAATATACATTATTAACAATCCTCACAGATAATTCCATCACGTTGCGTTGTCGTTTTAAACATTACGAAACACGCCAACGACGGAATGAATGTCGCGCTAAAGTCAATTATTGCAACAAAGCGCAATAGATCAGCGAACGGTGAAAGGATGATGAACCCATCGTAAAATACCGAAAGTAAAAGTACCAATTTGCCGTGGTTACCATTAACATTCAATTTCATCTCTGCAATTTATTAAAAATAAAATATACGATTACTTTCTCTTACCGGTACGCATTTTAAACTACCCATAGGAAAATTAAATACACGTATATAAGGCCCACCAAGAACCAAGTAACAAGAACGCCGAGTTGTGTGCCAAGTTAAGCGCGCAACCTAAATTCGAAACGAAAGTAAATTTTTTTTTGATAATAAAACTACTTATGGATACAAGTACCCGTATTGATATTGATTTCTATAACAAAATAAAGTTTAAGAAATCGACCTCACAGTTGGTGGAGTGGCTTTGAAAATTTTATAAACGAAGACCCAGATGTCTGTGAACGTTGACACGATGGTAGTTATTTATTTAGTCGCGAATATCGACGGGTTGTTGGTAAGGACACGTGTTCGTTATGTCAAAGAGGTGCTTGACGTGGTTTTCTATGCAATAACGAGGAGGACCTTGACATTCTTACACATTCGCGTACATACGAATAACGATAACTGAAAAAAAAAACTAACTATTAAGTGTCATACAATTGGAAAGAAATAATTGTATACAATGAATTGATTTTATAACGAGTAAGAGGAAGCAAAATTTTTATTAAAGTTAACTATTAAAGTGTTTTAAATTTGTTTCAAAATGAATCCAATTCCAAGAAGATTTAAATTACTTGAAATCGATTTATTTATCAAATCATAGAACAGGAAGAAATTGCATGATACTTAACTAAAAGAAGCCATTATTTGGTTATAACATCCATAATAACAAAATCACAAAAAAATAAAAAATAATAGTAATTGCAATTAAGAATTTAATTAGGTATTAACAAAAACAAACAATACTCAATCACCACAATTATTTATGTTTATAACCATGTCTAGTATTTTCTTTTACCACAGAAGACAATAACCACACATAATCAATTTCAACGGATACCAATTTCTCCAGTTATGGTGCGCTCTGGTTTGATTTCCTACATTGCAGAAAAGAAATATCTCATTCATGATTCAATGATTACTTGATGAGATGTAAAAATATCTATTGGGTGTAAATCTTGAATATAGGCATTAATTTGCGTCACGTATCAAAAAAAATTATATCATGTTCAGTTAGAATTATGATAGCTATTCTCCTCGGTGATTAAGCGGATGCAAAACGAACCACCAGAATATATTCTGTGATCGCATTCTCTGGTTTTAAGTCTTCTAATTAATTTTTCAGCTAGGCAATTATTTATTCATCACTGACCATCATTGATCGTAATTTGTTTACTCGCCACTAACTCTATTTCCAATTAGGCAACAAATCTCATAGCTTTATAAGAAATGTTCTAAAATAACAAGGAGACAAGGCAACCAGAATCGCTGGTATGCTTCGACATATAACCTGGAGAAACAATTGTATAGATCTATTGTAACTTTAGCCTTTCAAATTTTAGAGCAAATGTAGGTCCTTAATGAACCTTAGTATTACTCCAAGGTCTTGTTCCTTTATGTCGGTAGGTGTCAAAAGAGCGTTATCGAAAATGTTGTGTCTTAGGCGGCCTCTGGCAACGCAATTACACAGTATATGTTGAGCCCTTCCTGACTCGTCGTTGCAAAGTTGACAAGTTTGATCCTCAACTTGTCCAATATGGAAGATGTGGTACATTAGGGGCGCATGGCCGGTCAGGAAACCTGAGAGCGTCCTTAGATTCCCTTTGCTAAGGCATAAAACCTCTTTGGTTTTGTTTTGCGATGGAATTATTTTACTCTTCGCTTGTATGTAACCTGGAAGTTCTTTCCAGCGTAAGGCTACCTTTAAGGCCTCCCAACTGTTGATTGCTTGTTTTAGATGACTTTAGAAGGGCGTTTTCGGTGCCTCTTTGACCAGCTTGTCCGCCTTTTCATCGCCCCCAATATCTTTGTGACCTGGAAAATGAGCCAAACTAGTTGATGCTACGCTATTTACAGGAATTGAGAATTTTGCATAAAAATCTTGGCTTGCACCCTTACAAGATCAAATTAACTCAAGAACTAAATCGCCTTCATCATTTGATACATCGAATCTTCTAAGATCTAATAATAAGTTCTTTTTGTCATTGATGATCAGCTTGCTTTTGGTGGTCATATTAATTTATTATATAAGCGTGCTTATGGCTCCCTAAGAAGTCTTTTCCGCAGTAAGATGTTTTTATTGCAGTGTCTGAAACGACTTCTTTGTGATTTTCTTGACTTTGTAACCTCTTCTTAAGGAGGATTCAGGTTGTGGAGAATTCCTGGCTAGAGAGTTTTCAAAAAATATAACGAGTAACCTGATTGTAGACGTTCTAATTATTATATTAGAATAAAACATATTACGTTGAAATCCTTATAAATTAAGTTTTCTATTAAGATATCAAGCATCAATATATCTTATTCTCTCCAAAAGATATGACACTGAAAGAATCGCTTGTAATATCCAAAAATAGAATCTTATTTGTAAGTGTATTTCCACATTACCTGGTATTTTAATTCAATTTACTTTAATAGATGGTGACCAAATATATTTTTTGTAACATTTCATTTTGAATATGGATTTTTACATTTTGAGACTTATTATGGATTTTTGGCTTCATTGTAATTGCGGAAAATTTAAAGCCTTTTGAAGGTTATCATAAAATAATACCTTTCATATGTTGACGAATGAATAATTTGAATAACAATTAACATAAATAACCTACTAGTAAGAAAAACAACCTTCATAAAAAATATATGCTTTAAAAAACGTTAAGAAAAATGGAGCAATAATTATCTCTGGAAAACTTAATTATAATACCTTCATTTAAAGATAGTTATTAAAAAAAAATAAATTATCAGAGGGCGAAGCTAATCACATAATGGAAACCATTAGGGCTAGTTAAAAGGAGTGTAGGAAAGGGAGAAGATTGATTGAAGATAAGGTTCAATGAAAATGAGAATAACATCGCGATTAAAATTGGTTAATTATAGTTAACTAATCCGCACTAATGGTTTTGTAATTATTGTAATTATTAATTCATTTAACCAAATCTCTTAAAGTATTACTAATCGAATAGAATTAAGGAAAATATGATAAAAAATTAGAAAGGGAGAATGCATTCAAACTGGTAAAAGTAAACTATTCAATTAGCAATAAAAAACGGAAGCGAATGATGAGGTGTAAAAACAAGGCAGAATAGAAAGTGTAACTAAATCATGTTTTTGGTTTTGATTACAATAAAGAAGTAACAATAAAAAGATTTTCTAATCTTACGTAAAATCATTAGTTTTATGTGTTTTATGTGACGTTTTCTATCAGGACATCTTCATTATACATGGAATATTTAAAGTTTTATTTGAGATCTCAGAAACAACAAGAGATACAAAAACAATAAAATTTTGATAAAATTTCATAACCGACTGAAGTGACTCAATAATTCTTTAGAAGGTTAACTACCAATATAAAAATTCATATAACAAAAAAAATGTTTTACGCAATATAAGCGGATGTATAAATTCTTATTTTGCCCCACCTAAATAAGTACTTTACTTACGATTGATCACAGACTGTATCTAACTGATACCTATTGTATTTTGCAAAGAAAAGCTTTCTATCTTTTCTTATTGTCTCTCTAAAAAAACGATTGTGTTTTGAAATTGGAAATTCAAAGGACCATTTAATTACAATTAAATTTAATTATTTACTTTCTACGATTTACTTAATTATAATAAAAAAAATTTACAATTTTAGATGATAACATCAAAAAAAAATCTTACCTTTAAATCAACATCTGATGATAAAAAATTTGTAGTTGATGTGTTTTGAATACAGCCGAGTATTGTAAAAATGGTGATATAAAAGGGAAACCAAATCGGTGAAACCCCCAGCATTTCCCCCCTTTAAGGTAAACCTTCCGTGTTGTGAAAAGGAACCCCATTTACCGACGACAATTAATAATGAAAAGGGGTTGACTTCGTCATCGCCCCCGCAGATTCTTTATGCTTTCTTTCCACATAAATAACGCGTGTAAATAGTACACTGGATTTAACTAGTAGGAAGGCTCTTAACCCAGTTCGCAAGAGTAAGAAATCATTGCTGAGACGTTGTTGACGTTGCCGTTTTCTCCCCGGATTTTTAAAATAAATAACGCCTGTCGTCGGAGAGAGACTTTACACTTACTTTCAAGAACTATACTAACGTGGTGTGCAGACCGAATGCCGGTGCGAATCTGTCGTTCTCGTTGGAAGCTGCGGATGGAAAAAGTGTCTATTCCCACCTAACTAACGCAACAGACCGTGTACCGTGTCTTTTGTACGGTCGGACGACTCTTTTCCGTTGTGTCCCGATGGATGTCTGGGGGCGGATGTCTGCGAAATCCGCGAAAATTCGGCTCGGTGTTTGCCAATGTTTTTTTTACAATTTGTAATTGATTTGATTCGGATAAAACTGGTTGTTTGCGAAATCGGTCGGTAACAAAAAAAAAAGGAAAACCATATTTTGACGAAGAAGAAAAACGAATCGTATATTGATTTCCCATACGTCCTTGATAATTTCCGCGAAGTAATTCGTACCGGGGCCACTCTGGCGGGAAAGGCTTGATTGATGAAGCTCATTGTATGTTTGGAAATTAAGTTGCTTTCTTTCTTGATTGTTAAAGGGTCGATATATCTAGTATATCTACCGATATACATAAAACTTTAGAATGAACTAAAATCAGAACTATGACAATTTTGCGTTCAATGTTGTTGGAGGCTGCTCTAGGAAATCATATCTAAACTCTCTAAATTTTCTGCCTGTGACCTAAAGCTGGCCTTTCGTTAACTATTTTGGTTCTATTGAATCAAGAAAAATATGTTGTCTTATGACTTATGACATAACATATTTTCCATTGAAGTTGATTTTAAGTTAGACACTGACCTTTACACATCATTAGTATTACTGCTTCAAAGTTCAGATCTTCTAGCAACCGAATATTCAACTATTTTGTGCAACTTTTATTAAAAGTACGTTGTTTTGTGAATACAAGATGCTTTGTTTCTTTTTTGAACATATTTATCTATATTTACAACATTATTACTTTACATTATAAAAGCTACTAACGAAAATTATAATCAGAAAAATGATAGACAGAATTGAAATAAATGTCAGCAAGGATTTAGGAAATATAAATCGACACTGGTTGTGATATACATGCTACGACAATTAATTGAGAAGTCGATAGAGTATAACTAACCCTTGTATCTCCGCTTAGTAGACCTTAAAAAGGTTGTTCATAGGGTTAGCCTTCCTGATGTACTCACAATTCTACAAGAACACGACATTAATCCTAACTACTTTAGAGTATAACTCTGTGTCAAAACAACACAACACGAATTAGATCAAATGATGGACATACAAGAGAAGCACCTGTAGTGACAAGAATTCGCCAAGAAGACAGTTTGTGTCGAGCTCTCATAAATATCGAGAAAAGTAAGAAAATATGAAAATTTGATGAATTTCGATGTTTTACAAGATATTAATGGTAACACTCGGGAAACGGATCATATTACAAAAAAACTATTAGATCAAAAGTTGTAGCAAATTTTATTCTTAACAATATTGCTCTGTTGTGCTTTTGCTCATAGATGCATAAATATCGAGAGAAATACGATAATATGAAAATTTGTTGAATTTCGATGTGAATTTCTGAAAATGTCTGAAAAATTAACATGTTAATATCAGTAAGCAAAACAGAATCAGTGGTAATAACGGAAGATTCCATTAGATGTAAAATCTGAAAATCAACTTAGAAAACCTTATCTGAGATATAAAAACATGTCAACAGAAGGTAAAGTTCGAATCTACAAGACAATTCTAAGACCGGTTCTAACATACGCCACGGAAGCTGGGTCAGAAACACCACAAAGGAAGAAAACCCCACATTGAAGAGGGTTCCTAGCAGACCACCTACGAGATGACATGAAAGCTGGACATTCATCTCTAAAAGCAACACAAAAATTTTTTTTTAATTATTATATTGTCAAGATATCAAAGTACTCTTGTATGTGCTGATTAACAATAATGTTTTAATTGACTCAGTTTGCAAAACTAATATTTGTTTCATAATATTTAGAGCACGTTCTCTGCAATTTATCACCACAAATAATTGCTTTAATAATTTTGTCATAACCAAAACCTACATCCTTAAAAATGTTAACTGATTAAATACAAAATGAATGAATTCTTGAAATGTTTTAATCATTACATTCACATCATTATCGCTTCAAAATATGGTATAAAAATATTCCAGTAATTTTTAATATAATTTCAAATATTTATGTATAATCAGTCAAAGCACGATAAAACTGATTCATAAAAAAATCCAGGAAATAGAATTTCAAATGCTTGATGAATGAATTTTGGAGATGACATGAATAATTTTAACCTATAAGATATCTACAACCCCCCAAATTTACAGAGATACAAACAGAAATTTAAATAAATTATAAATATGCTTAGAAACCATCCCGCGTTTATAAAGGAAATAAACAGTTTAGTTTTATTTAGCACCAGTGGATTACATTGTAGATGTGAGTCGTCGATGCCCAAAAATAATAAGTTATATAAGTTTACAGAGTGTAAAACAGTAAATAGAACCTTTTTGCAACAACGATCTTGCTCCATTAACATGCCTTTGACCTTGAATTAAAACTTAAAGTAAATCATGATTGTAAATTGCAAAATGCTTAATAGGCGCTGAAAGGGAAACATCGCGCTTCAAATAAAGATTTTTGAGAATAACAAAGTAGGAACTAGTTTATTTTTCATACAGACTTTCAAGCAAAATTTATGTTCGCAAGAATCTAAATAATTAAATAAATTATCTGAAATTATTTAATTTAAGTACAATATGTTTAAAATCGCAGTGTATTCTGACTAAAGGATGTATTGAATGTAGACGAGTTGCCAAGTTCTTTCAGAATAATCAATGTGATTCATAAAATGTTCCAAACCATTGGGTTTTTTCGATTAGATGTAACACCTATATTATGGTTTGGAAATTTCGTGGATCTGATAACTATACTAATATAACTAACAGCATTGATGTATGTAGTAATCTATGTAATATTAAATATTATTCAATTTAGTTTTTATTAAAAGTTGCGACACTAAAAAATCAATAATAAATATTGATAAGATTACCTAAAGAAATATTAAATTCCTTAGAATAATTTTAAAATAAATAGAAACAATTTCGTTAATTTCATTCTCACCATTTAGACAATAAAAGCGTTCCCACAATTATAATATACAGTTATTTAGATCCTTTAATCCTTAGTCTCATTATTCTCGTTTTAAACTTCAACGCCATTTTAAGCGATTTTCACAGCGATAAAATTTTAAGAAAAACATTATTAAACATTTTTAAAAACTTCTAAGAAATACAAGAACAAAAGGAGTGAATTCTTATAATTTTATACATTAAAATTACAACAATGTTATCAAAAAAGGGTGGTCTTAATATAGATTGTTGCTATCGAATTGATTATAAAATTCAAATGTAAGGTAATTTACTCTGTTAAATATTCTAGCAAAGTATTCGAATTATTTAATATATCATTAATATTGAATCCTGCATTGTTATTATCGTGAATGATATCTTTACCAGTTATTTTGTTGCTGTTATACACTCAATGATATATTTCGTTATCGTAATTCAATCTGTATGAGAATGATCTTTATTTCAGAACTGTTCACAAATATTTCGATGTCTTACAAGTTGATAATGGTAACATTCGGGAAACGGATCATATTACAATAAAACTTTTAGAATAAAAGTTGTAGCAAATCTTATTCTTAACAATATTGCTCTCTTGCACTTTTGCTCTCAGATACATAAATAGCAAGAAAAATACGAAAATATGAAAATTTGATGAATTTCGTTATTTTATGAGTTATTAATGGTTATATTCCGGAAACAGATCATATTGCAAAAAAACTTTTAGAACAAAAGCTGTAGGAAATTTTATTCTTAACAATATTGCTCTCTTGCGCTTTTGTTCTTAGATGCACAGATATCAAGAAAAATACGACAATATGAAAATTTGATAAATTTCGATGTTTTATAAGTTGTTAATGGTAACACTCTGGAAACGAATTATATTACAAAACAACTTTTAGAACAAAAGTTATAGTTAATTTTATTCTTAACAATATTGCTTTCTTTTGCTCTCAAATGCATAGTTATCGTGAAAAAATCGATACTATGAAAATTTTATGAATTTCAATATTTTAAAAGTTATTAATGGTAACACTCGGGATACGGATTATATAACAAAAAAAAATTTGGAACAAAAGCTGTAGGAAATTTTATTCTTAACAATATTGCTCTCTTGCACTTTTGCTCTCAAATGCATAGATATCAAGAAAAATCATCAAGATCACCTTGCCTCGGTATGAAGATACATAAATAGAAAAACGCAGATTTCATTGGCATTAATGATCCAGTGTAACCAACAATTATACCTGTGATCGGTTCCACCTCACTGTGCTCTTGCGTCCGTCTTTCCATCTCATGTCGTCCGTCTCTTGTCTAATATTTGTCTAAATAGGTACAAATACTTGAATGAGTGGATCTTTGCTTGGGGTAAAATTGATAGAGGTGAACACTTCTATGTACTAAGTTAAGACTCTTTAAATAACCAATATATCAAAAATCAACTTTATTATTATTAGTGAAATAAGAAAATTTGTTTATTTAACTTTTTCTATGTATAAAACATAACTTAAATATATTCAAGTTTAAAAAAAAGCCTTTTGTTTAAAAATTTTCCTTTGTAAAAGCAGTAGAAATCGAAAAAATAATCACGTAGTACTACTCTAAAAGAGTGTTAAATTATGGCTTGTGCGCGTCATTTAAAAGGTTATGGGCCATTGTTTCCCAATCGTTATTTTCGGAGAACCGCATTGTCCACGTGCTTCAGCGTTCGATTGTGTTTACTGCCGGCTTCATTTATATTCTATCTTCATCGAGAACAATAATTATATTTACTACTATCACAACTCTCTCAATTCATTAAATTTTCAACAATAAAAACTTTTTAATGATCAATCGTTATTGAGAGGGAAGCAATAAAAGCACGCGGGGATAACCCCGTAGTCACTTCTCAACCCCATATAGTAACCCCAACGACGACTCCAACAGATGCCTCGTTACAAGGTTCAATTCCGCAAAAAAGTGCTTTTGTAAAATCGCGGGGTTGGTTGGAGGATTGGTAAAGGGTCGTTTCGGAGCCTGGACTATGGTACCCGTGCATGAAGTTAGTGAATGAGTCACTGCGCTCCCTTCCTCCTGCCAATTTCACAGTCTTTAACAACGACCGTAGTCCAAAGCCGATTCAGTACGCTTTCAACCGCCACTTCGTACAGTTCATAAATCACAAAAACTACATAGTAAACGTTTGCGAATACGAAATCTTTAAATCAACGATAATAAAACAAATTTATTTAAAAATGTTACGTTTACCGCGTTCAATTATCCTCCTTTTTGTTTTCTTCTTTATAACGGCGACAATGTGCCAACAAGAGAGTACCGAAGAAAAGACCGAAAAAACACCCACTGAAACAGAAAATACAGACACACCTGCTGAAACTATTCCACCGACACCACCAAAGGATGAGAAAAAGGACCCGGAAAATAAAAGTAGTGAAAATAACAATAAAAATGAAATGCCTGAAAACAAAGCACCTAAAACAGACGAAGCTGTTCCTAAGTCGGATGTACCCTCAACTGTTACAACTGCGAAGCCAAATGGATCTTCAATGGTTTTGTCTTCGGTGTTATTAATATGTTTAAGTGTTGCGGTGGGTTTTGTTTAGGAAACAACAAAAAAGTAAACAAAATGAGAAAAGAATATGTAAAAAATAAGGAAAGAACTGAACGTTACCATTTGTAAAGTAAAAATATCTTTGTATATTAATTCCAATTATTAAAAAAAAATAAATCATTAATTTGCTGATTATATTAATTTTTATAGTATCAATAGACATATCTAAGATTTAGAATTTAATAATACGACTCTCAGCATATTTTGTCACGAATTTATAAAAAATTACAATTTTAAATGTATCAACTTTAACATCCAACCCGAGTTTTGAGTACTTATATAATTAGTAATACATCGTCGAAAAAGTGATGTTAATATTTAAATTGTGCAGAAACCGTTTTATTACCTGGAAGCTAACCGATAAACTTATTATCTACAAGAAATGTTATCAGAAAACATGTTGACATACAAAAAACATTTTCCAGGTTTTAACGATATAACTGGAATTTTTGCTGTAACTGACAAAAACGGTTTTTTGATCTGTTTCTTAAAGATAAGTGAAGTGGTCGTAGAATACAAAAGCACCTATTGTAATTTATAACAATGAATATAAAAGAATACACTATATTTTAAGTATGTACCATGTTTTTGTTTTATTTCTTTTCCTTAATAACTTTTTTAATTAAAAAAAATCGTTTCATAACGACCGAAAGCGTAAAAATTACCGAGTGCGTTGAAGCAAAACGCTATAAAAAAGTTTGTGGTAATCCACTTTCAATATTAATATTAAAGCGCATCTTAACATTTTAAATACCTAAAAAAATTAATCCAAATTTAAAATTGATTCAAAGTTTAAAGGAAACGTTAAATCCACGACAAACAAACAAATCTTTCTCGGGAATGGACAATTCGTTCTCTGTCTATACACACACAGGAGTTCTATATGTAGATTCCAAGATTTGTTTAAAAAACAAACAACATTTCCGAATCGAATACAATCGATCAACAGTTCTACAAAGAGCTTAAAACGGTTAGATATACGATATAATATGAGGACAAGTTGTTTATCAAAACGTTTGAAATTGGTAATGTGTTTGTTTTTAGAAAAGTTATGGAAATAATTATTTATTTTAATCTAAAATTTTTCTTCAACCATAACAATTTCGATGCTATAACAGTTTCGAGAATTCAACCGATCTATTCCTTATTCATAATTGTGATTGGAAGTATATTTACAAGGTCGTGGGGGTCAAAAGATGTAGTGACTATAACACGAGAATAAACCTTGATTATTAATTGTGTTAGCCTACATACTTTATGACCGACTATCAACATACTGTGAAGAGATAGTATAGGCAAGTAACAAAGTGACTTTCGTAAAGGAAAGTCGTTGACCAAATCTTCCTTCTTAGGCAGGCCCTACGGGATGGACACCCATCACTTATTTATAGATTTTAAAAGTACCTACGAAAGTGTAGATAGAAGGCCACTGTATAACGCAATTAAAGAATTCAGCCTGCTGTTTAACCTGAAGATCTAATTAGTGACCATACACGTTCAAAGGTGTAAAGGAATTTATATGTCTTGGAACGCAAGTAAATAGAGCTTACTTTGGACTGAGAAACTTATTAAGGTCAGGCTTATTAGGCAACAAAACTAAGGTACTAATATACAAAACAAATGGGGAATCCCCAGAACAAATGTTCCGCCAAACAGTTTTTGGAACCCACAAGGGATGCAGGTCTACAAGCAGATATAAGGACCAGGTGGAAGAAAGTCTAAAAATGATAGGAGTTAGAAACTGGAAGGCGTACTTTAGAACAGGACAAGACACACCAGGGGTTGTGGTGCCAATAATGATGATGATTATTAATTGTTATCGATTACGAAATTACTAAGAATTTTTCCTAATAAAAAAATCAATGGGACAAATAGAAATTATATGTATTTAAACGAACAAGTATTTACAGATTCATGCATTAATAAAAGAAATTACTTAACTTATTAGGATTTAACGTAAAATTTAAACATAAAAATATTTAAATTTTAATGTCTAATTTAGGCAACCAATACTTCACTTTGTGATGTTGATTGCCTAAATATATGTTGGATGGATTTTCATAATTTAATTAACTATTTCGTTAACTTATTTGAGTGGGTTATTAATAAGTCCATAATAAGTTGTAAGTTTGAGGATTCCTTTTTATTGTTAAGTTATTTTTTAGCTTTAGCCATAATTTCTAGCCTAACGGTAGGTTAGGTTAGAAACGGGGCCCCATGCTGGGTCCGTATTCTATTTTGATCAGATTTTACTCGATAAATCAAACCCAGGAGGCTTTTGGGTAATACATGAAATCTTATTATTCTACTTTGTTATCCATTCTTGATGCCAACCGTTAGTCAGGCTAAATTCTTCATCTGGAGCAGTGGCTACTAATTTGATCGGAGGCTTTCTGGATCAGAGACGAGTGTATTTAGCTTCCTCAATCTCCTCGTGTATTGGTAGATTTTGGTTGCTCAAGATCTTTTTGTACTCTCTCATGAGGGCATTTATGCTATATAATTCCTTTCATACCACTAACACTGTTATTCCACAGGCACATAATCAGTACACTTGTATGAACTAAGTAAAACCTTACTAACAACAATAACCAAAATTTGTTAGTTGCTTGGTAGCCCTTATGATATTTTATTATACAAGAGCATTGCACTCATTTTTGCAGAAAATAGTTGATCAGGTTTTGCTTGGCAAATCAAACCCAGGGGGCTTTTGGGTAATACATGAGATCTGATTGTTCTGCTTTGTTATCCATTCTTGCTGCCAAGCATTAGTCAGGTTGAACTCTTCATCTGTGGCAGTGGTTGTTATTTTGATCGGAGACGAGTGGCGTTGGCTCCCTCAATCTCCTCGTGTATTAGTAGATTTTGGTTGCTCAACATCTCCTTGTACTGTTTCGTGAGGGCACTTATGCTATATAATTCCTTTTATACCACTAATACTGTTAATCTAAACTCACACAATCAGAACACTTGTGTGAAGTACCTTACTAACAACAAACTTATATTTTATTCTAATCTTATAAAATGTTTAGAGAGTAAAATAAAACTAAAACAATTATCATGTAGATTTCTTTATTTTAGACATGAATAAAAGCTAAATACTTCTTAAAATAAATAATATTAACGGATTAAAAACATTATATTTACTTAAAGGATTTAATTAGTAATGACATCTTATAATAAAAATAAAAACCATAAAATCTAAACGAAGATACCTAGTTTAAAAAAACGGTAAATGAGATTCGATTCGATTCAACAGGATTCAATTCATTCGCAAATTCTCCATCACAGGTTAGCAATGAAAACGATTTTGTATCAAAATAATTAATAAAAATATACATACATCTTTTTTTGTATGTATAGTAAACATAATTATCTTTTTACATTTGATAGTTATGATGCATTGGATGAGAATAATGACCGGAATGAGTCGATCTTGGCACAGTTCTTTGAGAAAATTGCGAATATGTATCGTCTTGTCCTGGATGCATTAATAAAACTGGATGTAAATTTAAAGATTTTCTTGAGCCGGCTACACTTCCTGTATCGTTAACAAAACCACTGTTCATTTCACCTGCAAAAAAAAAAAATAAAAAAGACTTTCAATCACATTTTCTTGAAATCTTTAACTTTCTAAAATGACTCGTCATTTACGATTACCGTAACGACATTTAAATCATTATGTAAGTTGATGATTATGTATGGCTTCTTACCTTTAAATAAGCTCGCCGGGGCATAATGCGGATCCGGTTGTAACCTAATGTGTCTAGTGGCCAATATAAATGCTAAAATCGATAGGATAACAGCGTCCAAACATCCAATAGCTGCCAAAAGATACGCCCAGCGGATGTTGCATCGCCCCAAAAAATACGGCTGCGATGAAGCGCATATTTTTTGGATTTTAGAACCGTTCCAACCGGCGGGGAAACAACCACATCCAGCAATCATACAAATTGCTAAAAGAAATAATAAAAATTCAGTTTAGTATATTTATTAACAAAAATGAAATTAAAAAAATTAAAGGCGATTAAAATCATCATTAAGTACTCTTTACATTCATGGGTTACGTTTATGTAACTTTCTAATTGAGACTGTTGAGGTGTGTGCGTTTCTACGTTCAAATCGAGTATAGTAGTTAACATTCCGCAAGGTTCGACCTTGCGTTTACGAATAAGTTGGGTTGTTTTGCAAACAGGAAAGGTTTTAAAGACTGTAAACTTTCGATGGTTAATTATAATTAAAGCTTTTGCACGAACATCGTAAACGGTTTTTTTCTTAATTACAACTTAAATAATTTAAACACATATTTTCATTACGTCTTAAGGTTAGATTGTTTAAAATTAGATTTAATATTATATAAATGAATAACAGAAAAATTATAATTTATCATTTCAAATTAGCTGACGAATCTTTTAGCTATCATAAAACATGCTTATCGTGTCAAAACAAAGTTTACGCTACTAATAAACTTTCCAAAACGATCTAATTGGTTGTTGATAAACCCAAAATTGTATTTAATGTTTTATGTAAAAGTGTTGAACTGAATTATCGATGATAGTAAGGAAAATCTGGGTTGAAAGATTTTTAGGTCATGATATTACCACGTACACATTCTAAAAACTCGTTTCATCACATTAATCCGCTTTTATATAAATTCTTATCAAACAATATTAATTCAAAAAAAATCATAAAAGTTATGTTACCTAAAGCTTTTTTATAGTAATATTCATTTACGTTACGGTTTATGGTTTTATTATGATTGTGTTGTTGCTCTAATTACCTTGTTTTCTTGTTGTAAAGAAATGGTATCAAGTGAAAAGTTTTTACGCATCCGTTAACCGACAAACGTGCACTATAATTGGTTTTAAAGTAATTATTTTATTATCTTTATGAAAGTTATAATCATTTTCGTAAATGTAGATGTTAAATAAATGAAACGATTAGAAAAAAAATTGAATAGAAAGACCTGGACGTACAATACTTATTGTTTACGCAACAAATTCTCATCTCACGGTGGACTAGTTATAATTTAAATCGGATTGATTGCGTTAGCCGGGTTGCCATTAGACCGATAACGGAACTAAATAAGGACTTAATTACCGCATAATTTAATATTTTGTGGTGGATTTCATTGTGGACCAGTTCCTAGTAGTAGGGTAGTACCAATTCGATTCAATTGTAATGAAATCGATAGAAATACAAGTATTATGATATAAATTGGAGTGGTAGAGAAAGTTTATTGTTTGGTTTATACACTTTTTTGTTGAAATTATTTCTTTTATAGCATTTTTAATTACTTATGATATGTACTCTTTAAAAGTAAACCTTGTATGACAAGACGATTGTGTGCATACAGTTTTCTTGGAGAATTCGGGTCAATTAGTACGGTACTGAAAGTGGAACGAGCCATAAAAAGTGTTTACTTAACATTTTGTTGTAAATGCGAAGTAATTTTTAAATGGAACATTGTTATAAAAAGTTGAGTTATTTAATTTCCGGTTTTCGTTCATAATTTCTTTTAATTCATAAAGTACCGAAATTCTGTTAGGCCATGAAAAATAAATTTCTTAAAAAAGAAATCTTAATAATTTAATTAATTTTCTCATTTTCTGAATGAGGATATTGTAAGGTTTAACTCTTCGAGCGCAACATTACTGCAAAAGTATAAAGATACTAAAGTTTTTCCATCACTCCAACCAAACATGCTGGTAAATTGTTTCCTTCGTTTGACTACAACAAATTCGGTTTTTTATCTTCTCCCAAAAAAAATTCGTTTCTACACCAGTATTAAATTCTTCGCGCCATCTTGTTCCTTTTCTGAACCATCTTCACATTCTTTAATTTCGTCTTGATGATCAATATCACTCCTCTCTCCCAACATCTCGCTTCCTGATAAGTCTTCCTTGTTATCTTCGATCGATATAACAATAAATGCACTCCAAAAAGTGTACGAGAACTGGGTAAGCGCACTTAACGGTTTGTCAGGCACGTGACTATAGTAGTATAAAAGTTTGAACAGGAGGCTATCAAATGTAGCTGTCGTTCTTGTTGCTGGTTTACACTCCATAGCCTCCCCATTAATAGCTACCTGTTTCCTTAGAACCTGGCAGCAGGAGCCAATTACCTGCCTCAATCCTAATTTTAATAGGTCTACAAAATTTTCTGAAGTTTCTAAGTTTTCTTAAGTTTCCTTCTCGCGAATGATTCTACAAGTCTTGACGTGGAAATGACATCCACTCATATACTAAGTAATAACTAATTCAGCCTGTGTGATGCAGATGGAAGAAGTTTGCTTTAGCTGCTGTATTTTGATTATGTGTTGCACATCTAATTCTTTTCCAGCCATTGTTGCACATTCCACAAACCCAAGACTTTTCCTGACTTTTTGCTGATATGTCAGATATGTTTTGTAACTCAAAATGTAAAAATTTTAACATTTCTTTACCTCATCAACAATTTATTTTCTTAAAACCTGGTTGCAAATGTCAATTAGTTCATTTTGGACATATCTATTTTGGGTACTTGTTAAATTTATAATAAGTCCATAAAATATATTGATTGAAATTCCTTCCCATGATGACTCTTCTTGGGTTTTCAATGGTATATCCTTTTGTCTCTTCCACTACAGATTTAAAAGTTGTTGTTACAACACTCGATTCTTTGTTCATACTTCCCCTTTTCAATGAAGGCTTCAAAAGAGCACCAGTTTTGCAGTAAGCTCCTTTTAAATAGAGGAGCTAGCCACGAGTATAATATATCTAACAATTCCAACTTGAAAGCATTCTTGCCGTTCATAAAGGACTATCTTAAAATTATAATTTTTGTTGGATTTTCATTTCATTGTTAAACAGAATAGAGATTTGTTAAGTTATGCAAATAACCTCGAATAATCTTAATGTCAATCAAACAAGAAAAAAATAACAATCGTGAGATATTACAATGAGAATAGTCAGTTTCTCTCCTCCTTTATCTCAATCTATGTATCAATACTAATAACGTGTATCCTTCATTTTATGTATATCATTCAAAATTAAATGGAAAAAGAAATCAACTTTGAAAGTATTATTGTATACCATTAAATGTATCAAAAACAAATTCAAAAATTAATATTTGTGAGTAACTATTTACATTACACTAATGTAAAGTATTTGAAATGACCTCAACCTTTTCGGTAGAAAGATTTTAACTTTTAGAATTGAAAGTTATTAAAGTAAAATGTATATTTAATTTAAAACAAATATAAAAATCTACTTAATTGATGTAAGAACAGAAAGTTGTAAAATTGTAAAATTTCTACTACCATTACAGGCAATATCATTAAACTCCCATAAAAGTAGGAAAGCTTTTTAGGCGATCTACCGGTATCGCATTTACAATCAAGAGATCGTTGCACCGTAACTGGTCGATTTCTCGGATAAATTACTTTGCACCATGAAGCAGATGTCGTCTAGCGGCCCCTCGACTACTATTGACTTTTATTCGTTGTTATTAGTGAGAAGGTCCAATTGCATAATCCGTTCTTTCTAAACAACATACCGATACGATCTAACGTTACAATGAACCGAAAGCCATAAATTATTTACGATTTAATAACAACTATAAAGCAATAAAATTTTACCTGATATCAGTTGTAACCAAGCGCAAACGTGAAAGACCGTTGTCGTTTGACAAAAGCAAAAAAACAGCATTACGCAAATAGTTAAAAGGGCTGTAGCGACTGCTAACCCTACACATATCGTTGCTGCCATGAGTGGTTTGTTCTCCATCTTCCAAAATTCGTAAAGTAATCCTTTACAACTTTCGGTACCTTCTTCGGCGGCATAACAAATTGACCAAAGACCGATTTTTCCTTGACTACCCGATTCCGTGCCCAAATATCCAATCCATTCTGGTGTGATCAACGATACTACCCCAATTATTGCATAGCAGATTGTGAAGATCGCCCATAAAACGCCGATGGCCTTCGAGTTCCTCACGTAACTTGTAGCGTAAATTTGTGATTGATCGACGTATTCAATTTTAGAACCCATGATGATAACAAAAGTGAAAGTAACCAGTGACACGGAATTGAACGAATTTAGTCAATCCGAACGAAAAATTTCTTAAGAATCTTCTAACGCATGGTCGTTTTAATAACGTAGAAAATGGCCGACGTGAAGTCAACACTGTTACTTAGCTTACTGCGGAGTCGAACACACCTGAGCTCGGCGCTTACCTAACCCAACGTTCCCACCTAAACCACGTTTTCAGATGCCGTTATGTTGTAGACAATGAAAGCGCTACTCCGCGAAGCTGTTCTGCGAGAAAATTGGTGAGAAGAGCGTGTTGTTTTTCTTTTACTCGGGGGTTTTGTGGAAATTATGGGAATGCTTGCGAAAAATGAGACGAGAAGAGATAAGATTATGGGAAGATGAAGTAAGCGGAAGTAAAAGAAATTGCTTACAAAGGTTACGTTTCATTTTATAGAAGATTAATGAAGAATGTTTTATAAAAAATTAACTATGTTAGATGATGTTTAATGATACGTTATTGATAAAGTTAAAAAGTAACAAGTAAATAATAACAATGTTATATGTATAATAACAATATGAAATTTCGTTTTATTGTAATGTTACTTTTTTTCTTTTAAACCCCATTTTTTTTCAAAATGGGTTTTTTAAGACACCATTTTATACCAGATTAGATCACATATTGGAGAGCACAAGCGTACGAGTAATTATCTGCATTCGAAGGATTTGCAGACAACTTAAGCCACGCGTAATTGTGAATGATAGAATGCAAGAAACGAAGAAGAAGATGAACAGGTGAATCCTAAAAAAGAAACAGGAGGAAACAAAATACTTATGGAAACGAGAAGAAAGGACTGCTAAAAAGAAGCAATAGAAAAAAGATATGACCAATGTAAAGAAAAGAAAAACTGTCAGTCTTCTGGAACAAAGCACTAATTATATCTATATTCAAAAGAGAATGTCTTGGTATCTTGCTACTAGGTGGACTCCGCCCAACTATCCAAGGTTGTCAAATATATAGGAGTAATCCTAGACAAAACCCTCGCATGGAATGGACATTTGCAGGAAGTTTATATTACTATCCTTGTGGACTTGTCGTAGTCTTCGTGGAAAAAATTCGAGTCTTACCCCTGAAAGACTGTACTAGCTCTATGTGACTATGGTTAGACCTATGATCACATACGGAGCGGCAGGCTGGTATAGAAAAGTCCGACAGACTTCAGTTATCGTCAACTTTCACGAATTCAACGAGTAGCTGGATTGGCAATCTCACAACGCCAACTCTAGAAATGGATGTTCTGCCTGGCCCATATCCTTTGCATTTGTATATAGAGAAAGTGGCTAGAACTACCATTAAAAAGGCCGGAAAGGGTCGGGCAGGAGTATACTGCCAGACATTTCGGATTGTTAGCCTGGGGTACGTACTATACTGTATTCCAGGCGGAAGTATTAGCTATATAGATGGGCGCTAAAATTCTTCTTGAGAGAGGGCTGAAGAACATGACAGTACGATTTTTCTGACAGTCAAGCTGCTCTCCAGGCGTGAAAACGGAGTCGACTCTGGTTAATGACTGTAAAAGAGCTTTAAATACACTGAGTTGTGATAACAGAGTTTCTTTGATCTAGGTCACAGGTCACTCTGGCGTTGCTAGCAATGAAGCGGCAGATGAGCTAGCACGAGAGGGCAGCGCTAAAGCGTTTGTGGGGCCAGAGCCAGCAGTTGGTGTATCATTTGCGTTGGCCAAACATAGGCTTGAACTGTGGGCTGAAGAGAGACTACTGGGCGCCTACTGTAGACTATGTTGGACATGCTATGTCTTATTCCGGGAGAACTAGTTGTTTATTAACATCGCCACTGTCAAACCCGGAAATATTTTAGGACTTGCTCGTAGCATTAAAGTTCTAATGGGCGTCTTTACTGGACACTGCCAATTAAAGACACACCTTAACTTTGAGACGGTTGAGCATGTTTTATGCCCTACTGTTAATCGTATCAGATTGTCGTGTATTGGGTTGTAGTTTATCTCCCAAAGGATCTGAATGACTTTTCACCAAGCAAGGTATTAATGTTAGTTAAGAGCACGATGAAATTTGATACCGTCGCGGTGCAAGGTTGGTTGGTCCGCCTACCGAATATGTAATTTATGTAAATGTAATGTAATCTTGCTACTAAATATAGCTATGAAGGTGTTCAAAAAATAATAGAGAAAAATTGACTAAGGGAAGGAAACATCACAGAGTGGATTTACGATCAAAGGAGTATCCAAGATCATATGTTTAGCATGAAATATAGTGAGCAATTATGGAAGGATGAGTGTTTTTAGTGTTTCTAGACCTTAAATAGGTTTTTGATAGCATACTCAGGAAAGAACTTTGAAGCATTGGAGAACTCTTGATATAATGAGCGACAAAAAGACAACATGGAATATGTAGTAAACCCATATTGATGTAAAAATTCAAATGTTTATTTGTGACTATATATTTTTTGTTCATAAACGTGAATATGCTTGAGTGAATAGAACTGTAGCAAAAAATTAATTAACTGGAAATGTCTACACTCAACATTGTCGCGTTTTATAGCAAGAAAGTTTTTATGTTGAGCTTATAGACATGGGTTGTAACAGTTATCTATAATTATAAAAGCATATAATTAAAGTATCTTGAATTTTCTCAATGTTAAGTTCGGGGTATTGTTTAGATACTTCCAGTTACATGATTTGATTGAAATTTTATATCTGAATGTTTTTCATAAATATAACATACTACTCCTTTATCTCTAATTGAAGAGATTTTTCAATAATGCCAAAAATAATAAAAATATTTTCAGGTGCTCCAAAAATGTGTTAAAAACAAAATCTCAAGATAGAATTTTTTCACATTGCAATACTTTCTCTTTATATACTTGGTATAAGCGAGAATGTAAAAAAGGTGGTCTTCTTAGAAATTATAGTTGAAATCGGTGCATTTGTAAAACATAATTGACGTTTAAAAAAAAATTAGGTTATGTTCTGTTATTTAGATAAACGTCAAATCAATTAGCACATGTTCTAACCTAAAATATTTTTTTATTTTAAACTATCATTATTATTATTGCGCATTTATCTAAAATACCCTTTTTAGATAAAAACAGGATTTTTTTCTAGATTTTTCATTAATTTCTAGTTCAATCGACTTTTAGAACATATTTGCGCCATATCTGTCAGTTATTTCTGATCGACCCCCACCAAGAAAATTCCCTACAGCTTCCAGTTGTGTCTGTAAAAAGAAAGGTTTCTCGTTCCAACGCACCTATTTCCTGGCCATGTGCAAGCTCGCATTTACGCCCAGCAATTCCATATGGATTAACGCTGCCATAGAAAGCCACAAAATGTTTCAGTGCCAGATACGAAGTCGAATATCACGACGTTTCTAATAAATAACCCCCAGCGCAACGGCGTTTTTCTTTCATTTCGCTGAAATACCATGGCTTCGAGACGTGTTAGGATTAAGGGAATAGCAAACATACCCCAACGGAAAAAGAACAACGCCCCGGAGAACGAAAATAAAACCGCAAATCCTCCGGATGAAAAAATTACTGAACTTAACCTCACTTCTGATCAAGGGTCACATGTTGAGGTAGCACCAACCGAAACAGCTGTTCAAACTGAAAAACCAATTGCTAATGAAAAAGAGGTTGAAAATAACGATAATTTTAATAAGAAAAATGGAATTTGTGATGACAAAGAAGCAAAATGTGATGCAATCAATAACAATAACGAAAAGGTTGAAAAGGTGGGTGTACCCGCTAGGAGAAAATTTATTAAACCTATGGTTGCTGTGAATTCGGTTAATCGTAAAAGAGAAAAACCTGAAAATGGTATAGTTGAACCTAACAAGGAGAATGTGCAGGAAGTTATAAATAGTCTTAATGAAACTGTTATTGCACCTACTTTATCACCTAATAATCATAATAGTAATAATATTAATAACACATCTTCAAGCCCTATAAGCGTAAAAATAAGTAAGTTGAGTTTTCATAAACTACATAATAAAAAATAATTTTTTCTTTCTCAGCACCAACATTCATTGCTCAAAAGGATATTTCTAAATGTGGCTCGGATACAGAATATCCACCACCACCTGTAAGTCCAAGTAAAATTCTAAACAGAAGAATTAAGGCTATTCCTAAACTTCATCAAAGAAGGACTAGCTTTAGTATTGGAAGTGCTAGTGAATCAGAAGATGATAGCAGAAGAAGTTCGTATGGAAGAGTAAGAAATGATTCTGTAAGTTTATTAATAGATTTTTATTTGTTTGAAAATAAACTACATATTTAATTTAAATAGTAACAAAGTGTTTTATTTTTCTCAAATTATTAAAAGACTCAATATTAGTCTAATAAATAATTTTTTTGGATACAGATTTGTTCAGTTGCTTCACTTGCAACTGAAATCCCAACATTAATAAAAGAAGCCACTTCACCACCAAGAAAAGAATCTACAATAACCAATCCACCAAGAAAATTTAGAAGATCAGATCAAGGTAGAAAAATAGCTGAAGCTAGAAGGAATTTCTATCAAAAATTTGCTGATGGTAAACCGGATAAACAAAAACTAACCATGATGGATTTAATATATTATAATCCAGCAACAAATCCAATGAAGTAAGTAAAAAAATAATTTTCTTGCATTACAAATTCATTAATCATTTAATTAATTATTTCATTCATTTAGTCCTAGAAAACGTAGAGAAACAACAAGCAGTATAATATCAGAAGATCCTCCATCCCCAAAATCAATCCATACAATCACACAAGAAGATGAAGACATAGATGATCCAAATAATGCTAAAAGTGAAGATGATGAAGATGGTACTTTAGCACCTCAAATAAAAGTAGGCCCAAATGGTGAAATTGTTATCGACGAAAAAAGTCTTGTAATTGAAAATGCTGAAACAAAAAAATCCCGTAAAGCTTTAGAAAAAGCTGAAGTCATCGACGGTGATTTTGATACAGCTTATGGAGTTTATAAACGTGCAAAAAGAGCGAAGGATTGGCCTAATGAAGAAACTTTACGATTTTATAAAGCTTTAAATACTATTGGAACCGATTTTACAATGATGTGCGAATTATTTCCAAATAGAACGCGAAGAGAGTTAAAGTTGAAATTTAAACGCGAAGAAAAAATTAATAAAGCGCTCATTGATCGCGCTGTTATGCAACCAGTTGAGTTTGATATGAATCAATTAAGGAAGGAAATGGAAGAACATGAGAGATTTGCTGAGGAAAAACGAAAACGCGCTGAAGAAGTGAAATTGGTTAAAGAAAAGGAGAGGTTGAGGAGATTGGAAAGAAAAACAAGAAAAAGAAGTTTAATTGGTGTCGATGGTTTAGAAGCTGAGGAACCTGAAGAGCCACTTAAAGAACAAAAACCAAAACGAAAACGACGTAAAAAGCATCCTTATGATAGTCTAAAAAAAGGAATCAATTCTTTATTGGAAGATACAGACGATTCAGATGAAGAATACATGCCTAATTCAAATAATGAAAAGACAGAAACAAAACGAGCTGCTATTCCAAGAGAAGTCAAAAAACCTAGTGTGAATGTTCAAGAAAATGAAAACATCGAAAATCCCAGCGATAATGATAAAAATTTAGAGCCAGGTTCTTTAATGATTGTTCCTTCTTCACAATCGGGAAAAACTTTATATAAAGTCTTTATGATTACAGACGATCGTGGTAAACAAGAGGTTGATATGGATGGGAAAACTATAGAACAACTTACCCAAGAAAATAACGAAAAATCTGTTAACATTCAAAATATCATCACAATATCCGAAAATGTTATTGTGGATGAACAAACGCCCATCAGTACTAACGAAAATAATATTGAAATTACAAAAGACAGTATCATTTTTGATTTCGACGAATGTCCAATCAATTCAAGCAATAATTCGAACATTACAATTTCACATGATGATAACAAAATGACGATTGTCACTGAGAGTTAAAAAAAAAACACTGTTATTTAATGGACCGCATTTTACATGTACTCGTTATACTTTTTTTTTTATTATTTATTTCTGTGGTGCTTAGTTTTTAATTTATATATTTCCAAGTTGAAACGCGCTGAAGCTGATTCTCCTGATATAATGAAGTAAGAGTTACTTTATTTGTGTTGTTTGTATCTTTTTATATGCTATTGATGAAGCTTTATAAGCTCTTAATAAACGCCAGTTGAACATAATAAAATTATTTTGATTTATATATCCTTATTTATTAATATATCTTTTTTTTTTAATTTGTATTATTGATTACTATTTTGTTAATATTTACAAAGACATCTTAAAATCATATGTATAAAGTGATGCAATATACACAAAAATATATTTCCATAGAAACCAGGGAGTACTTACTTTGTCCCATATAAAATGCTAAATAAGAGACGTATGGCTAAACCCAAATGTTTCACAGCACGTCTCTAAAGATTGCTAAATCCGAATGATTCTAGTTCTAGGTTTAATGTTAGTTTTAGTGACAGTGTAAAACTAGAACTAACACTATACATAGAACTAGAATCATTCGGGTTTAGCCGTCTTTAGAGACGCACGGCTAAACCCGAAACTTTCTAGGTCTAGTGTTAGTTCTAGTTTTAATTGTTATACAGCGCTAGATTGTTGTATATTTTTATTGAACTAAAAGTAGAACTTACACTAGACTAATAATTAGAATCATTCGGCTTTATCCATTATGAGACGCATGGCTAAACCCGAATGTTTCTACTTCTAGGTCTAATGTTAGTTCTATTGACAGTGCAGGTGTAAAACTAGAACTAACACTATACCTAGAAATAGAATCATTTGAATAGAATGATATATTATGCCTGCTTCGTTTGAAGAGTTCCGCAGTTCCAAACAGTTCTGAACCTTTCTGCGCATACATTTAATATGCAATATGTATGCGTAGAAAGATTCAGAACTGTTCGAAACTACAAAACTATTGAACCAAAACAAGCCTATTATACAGGGTGATTCACATAAGAACCGACACAGAGCAGGGACATGTAGAGGACAATAAATTAAGATGATTTAACGCAATTTATCTCTATACTAATTGTAAGTTGTACCCCTGAGGAGTTATAGGCCTTCGAAGTTGGGTCTTAAATTTTTAAGACATTGAATATTTTTGTAATACATTAAGCTAGAAAAACCAAATTTAGTATACGTTATGAGTGTACCGAAGGTATTAATTGGTAGCAAGTTGAGACAAATTGAGGCATTTCAAAGGGTTGATTAAGGATGATAGTCCCCTAAATTTTGACAGATCTTTTTAACCTTTTGATGGATTTAATACCAAAGAAATTGTATTACTAGAAGCACATATAAACACCAAGAGTTGAAGCCAGCGTTTGATGTGTTTTGTTTACGTTTTCACTCAGTCCAGAACGGGACGCGCTCAGATCGGACCGTCCGGCCGACGATCACCGAGTATTTCCGAACAGGCCAATCTTTTTATGGTTTCTTTGAAAATAAATTTAACTGATTAATGTTTATCCATGTTTGTCGAACCCTAATAAATGAATAATTCTCTTCTAAGTAAACAAGGTTTGTGTGCGTATTTGTGTTTTGACATTATAGACGTTGCGAACTTAAAGAACATGCATTTAACTACCTAACTACTATTTTCTAAAAACTAATATTACTTCCCAATTTTGTTTAAATATGGTAGAAGGAACTAGTGATATTTCAATGCTACAGGTATAAAAGACATATGGGGCTTTGACTAAAGCTTCTGAGTTTGTAGTCAAACTTTACTTAATTAGTGAAAAAATTATTAGAGACTATTAACGACAAAATGTATTATTCAATAACAAGAACATATTTTTAAAGTTAACTAATTCCATTTTATTAAGTTTACCTCAAAATATTTATGATATTTTTGGAGATTATGCGTATGATGATGTTATTGATGGACATGAAATACAATGTATAAAGTTAATAATAATAAAATTTATTAACGTAAAGTTATTTAATGAAACCAAGTTAATAAATCAAGAATCTAGGCTTTGACATATGTTAAATAAACAAATAGTATTTTCAAATCAATGAGAGTTATTTTAAAATTTATATTTATAAGTTAAGTTTTAAGAACTAAAGTAATTTATTGGGATACACGACCAACACGTAACGACCGTTACTACTCCTAAATTAAGTTTTAAGTTTTTTGTTATGTAATAAAAATTTTGAAACAAAATACCAATGTTATTTGCAAATACAATATTTTTACTGCATTATTTACCATGAAAGTACTGTAAAATTCTAATTATATCATCTTTAATTTACTTGTAAGAAATAAACCAAGAACTCAAAGTTTACATTCCTTAATAAACATTTCAATCAATATAGCGTATAAACTGCACATCAAATTTTGAAAAACCTGCTCAATAAAAAAGAAATAATGATAATATACATTTCTTCATGTACGCCACTGTGTAAGTCTGATTTTGCCGAAACTATACACGCCACTGTCAGTGGGACCAAAACCAAAACAAACACTCGAACGTTGGCTTCAATCTCGAATACGGGCGGGGATAGGCAATGCTGCTTCTAGTTATACAATTTCTTTGTTTAATACATTATTACCTCATTTCATGTGGAATTTAATTCTAAAACTTTTTTTACTCTTATTATTTTTTAAAAAACAATATCGTTTTCATAAAAAACTTAAATAACTAAAGACACATATTTCGTTAATGCTACTTAAAATCATCGAAAATTCAGTAGTCGGCTGTGAAATTGTACGTCAAAGTTGACAAATAGGTTATAAAACCTTGTTGTCAAATAATATTATAACCTATTTGTCAAGTTTGACGTACAACATTACGAAATAAGTGTCTTTAGTTATTTAAATTTTTCATGAAAACGACAAAGTTTTTTAAAAAATAATAAGTGTAAGAATAGNCAAGCCTCTTATACAGGGTGATTCACATAAGAACCGACACAGAGCAGGGACATGTAGAGGACAATAAATTAAGATGATTTAACGCAATTTATCTCTATACTAAGTTGTACCCCTGAGGAGTTATAGGCCTTCGAAGTTGGGTCTTAAATTTTTAAGACATTGAATATTTTCGTAATACATTAAGCTAGAAAAACCAAATTTAGTATACGTTATGAGTGTATCGAAGGTATTAATTGGTAGCAAGTTGAGACCAATTGAGGCATTTCAAAGGGTTGATTAAGGATGATTGTCCCTTAAATTTTGACAGATCTTTTTAACCTTTTGATGAATTTAATACATTATTACCTCATTTCATGTGGAATTTAATTCTAAAACTTTTTTACTCTTATTATTTTTTAAAAAACAATATCGTTTTCATAAAAAACTTAAATAACTAAAGACACGTATTTCGTTAATGCTACTTAAAATCATCGAAAATTCAGCAGTCGGCTGTGAAATTGTACGTCAAACTTGACAAATAGGTTATAAAACCTTGTTGTCAAATAATATTATAACCTATTTGTCAAGTTTGACGTACAACATTACGAAATAAGTGTCTTTAGTTATTTAAATTTTTAATGAAAACGACAAAGTTTTTAAAAAAATAAGAAGTGTAAGAAAAGTTTTAGAATTAAATTCCACATGAAATGAAGTAGCAATGTATTAAATCCGTCAAAAGGTTAAAAAATCTGTCAAAATTTATGGTACCATTACCCTTAATCAAGCCTATGAAATGCCTCAATTGAGTTCAATTTGCTACCAATTAATACCCTTAGTACACTCATAACGTATACCAAATTTGGGTTTTCTAGCTGAATGTATTACGAAAATATTGAACTTTTAAAAAATGTAAGAGCCAACTTTGAAGGCCTATAACTCCTCAGGTGTACAACTTAGTATAGAGGCACAGAACAGTAGTATAGAGGTAAGTTGCGTTAAATCATCTTAATTTATTGTGCACTACATGTCCTATTGTTATAATTATTGTCATAATCAGTCTGTATATTATGCTCAAAACAATGTCTGTATAGGCAACTTTTTTTGCACAAAAATGTTAAATTTTAATGGTATTGTAACGATATTTGCAAGTTTTCTATTTTTTGCAGGTTTCAAGAATGGTAAAAAACTGATATATTAGTTATTTAAATCCTTTCTCATTTTTTGATCAGCAAATTCGTTTAATGCTTATAATGTCAGATCTTTTCTGTTACGATTAGATGAGGTTCCCCAAAAAGTAATGGCCAGGAAAAAATCTTGTACTTTTAGAGATATTGCGTGTGAAATTCTGCAGTTGATCAATAGCCAGATTCGACTCAATATCCTTTACAATCGAATGATGGCTCTTATAATATGCTCTAAAGAGCTTATTTTATTGAACCATTTTCAACGCATTTCTTTGGCCAGATTTCAGATATTTCCCAAACGATTTTAAAATGTAGTACATCTTGATTTACTGTACTTTAGCTAATAGACTATTGATCAAAATATGTTGCGTTGATGTGGTGAATTACATCGTCTTGTAACATAAATAAAAATTTTGGCAGTGAAAAAAAATAGTGTACATTATAAAAAGGGACGTTTTTCTTTTGTACGTATTTTATTTATAATAAAAGAAACAAAAAGGAATGATATTAAATATTGATAAAACTAAAATTATATTTATAAACTATTCTTGTCCCTAAATAATAAAAGTACAGCAATCCCTCCATTTACTAGAATTCATGATAATACTATTAACAAAGTTGAAATGGTTGCAAGTAGTAAGTTCTTGATGTCAAACTTAAATGCAAGGATGACTGTGTCTTTTAAAAACCACATATGGCAACTAAAGATGAGACAATAAATATTAATCTATATACATTTATGGCTTTTTTAAAATAATTTCAAATTAATCCCGTTCCAGATGATTGTTTTTTTTTACAAAACTTAATGGTACATCGATCACCGCTTATCAATTAAGACCATTTCTAAAACACTAGTTCGAGAAAAAATCACATCATAACATATTAACATTACAATAATGACTGTAAATATTTTCTATCTCTTAAAATACCTCCTTTTAAATCAAAAGGAAAACATATAAAAGAACCTACATCAACATCTACATGTTAACATCAACATCGCTATAATCACTACAATTTGAGTTATTATTGATTAGCCTCCCAAGAGGTTGATGAACGTCTATGGTGGTGATATGAATCTGTTTCGGTTTCTTATTTGGTTTCTTCAACAATTCTTCTATAGAATAAGGGTTCTTTCTTTTCCCTTCTGGTTTTTCATCGCTAGTTGTTCGGATATTTTCCTCTTCGGACGTAACATCAATATCTCCATCTGTTGAATTTGGGTATCTCGACGGCGTTGAGGGTTTATATGGAATAACCAAATTGGACCAATTTGTACCCGGCGCTTCCACCATACCGGGCGACGCTGTCGTTATATGCAATTGATGTTGAAGAGCTGCTAACCGCCCTGAAGCGTATCCTTCTTGTAATGTTGGAAAGTATTGGATCGTATTTCCGTGTTGGATATTTGTTTTTCCGTAGATTTCTCCACGTAAAGCTTGATCTAGAAAAAGATGGAAATTAATATCTTTTTATGATTTAAATGTTAATGTTTACCAGAATGTGATGTTCTATGATGCAAAATTTCTGGTGCATCCGGCCAAGCTCCGCTGTTTCTTAAAATTCGGTTGACTGAGCTTACAGAAGGAATGTTGTGGGGTTCGCAAATTCTTTGGGATATTAGTTGTTCCCTGATTTCCCATGCGAACATTCCTGGGTTATCTTGTTTGAATTTGAGGATCTTTTTTACTACTGTTGGAGTTGCTACTTGCTAAAAATAAAAGAAAGAAATTGAAGTTAAAGAAGTGTTTAGCCATAATATTCGGAATGATCATTAGCAAGAGTAATCATTTACAACAGACACAAAGGTAGTGTTAGATAATCAACCCCTAGATAAATTGAACAAACTAGATTCTTATTAGACACGGAAAATCGGCATCTCGTGTCGCCGTCAATAAACATTGTGTCGAGTATCGTATCGATAGGTCCCGATAGGAATACACAGGTGTATCCTGTGTAAACATCCGAGGCTAAAAAACGAAAATCGAAAAAACTGGCGACCGATGTCGGTAGATGCTGCGCTTCGATAAGGTCCGTGCGTAAACATACGGTGTAGACTCGCGAGGGACCGCATCGACGACGTGTCATTAGGTCGCAGTTGTTGGCGACGGCGTTGCTGTCATTTCGACCGTGCCGATGATCGCTACGATCAACGGTAGACGGCGGTTGCCGCCTCGTATCAAAAACTCATTAGCCGTCCCATCGCGTCCCATTAAATAATTATCGTGAAATTGAGGTTAAAGCGGTGGACGCACGGAGTTTTGTGAACTTCACGGCCACAGGGCTAAAAGAGTTCTTGTGAATTTTTGCCTTCATTTATGTATATAATCTTAAATATAAAAAGAAATTTATTGTGGTTTTTGACTTCATATTTATGCTCATTTAAAAATCATGTATCGTTAAAATTTGTGGCAACCCCGATTTCCTGTTTCGCCCTTCGTGCATGTTTGGGACATCATGAGGAGGATCTGAAGCCATAACATCTTCATCTGTCAATATGATAATGAAGCCACGGTCGCTTATTAAAAATAAGTCAGAATTGTTTGCAGATATAGAAAATTTCGACAAAAAACTCGAAAAGCAAAAGAAAGTTAGCGATGAAAAATGCGTTTAATGAAGTAACAGAAGCTTTATAGTATGGTCTTAGTAGTGCAAACTGGCCGATATGTTATTGGAAATAGGAAAGAATCAATTTTGTTGTAATTCGAAACTTTATACTTCCTCAATACGGCGTTTTTACATCAAAGGTCGATTTTTCTTAGGTTCACTTAGAAAATATGAATACTAGAAACAATGATTATTATGATTTCAAAGAATGTCCATTTGCCATCAATTTTAGAAAATTTTGCAGAAGCCTTTGAACGATTAAAAAGCTTAACAACCACATCAGTCCATTCAACTGATGGAGACAGTTTAGAAGACAACAAGAATTGCGATAGCTTTCCTATTTCAGCAAAGTCTAGGAATCTTGCGTCAAATTCCTTAATAAGTTCTGATATAAAACTTTTGCTTTTATATTAAAGAATGTTTGGAAAATGAATAAAATATAATTTTCAAAAATATCTAACTTGATAAATCACGATAATAAATCAGATATTAACTTCCCATTTCTTTGCAACTCTACGTTAACCACATTAAAATATTTTAAGTGTCGTTCAAAAAAGCCATATTTGCCATATCGGACCTGTTTTCTAAGAATTCCAAGTATTTTTGCCCTTCTAAACTATTAATCACTTGCTTTTTTTTTTCAAAAACGTTCAATCACTTGGCCTTTACTTAACCAACGAAAATTATTGTGTTGGAGTCAGTCTGAATAAGTCTGCACTGTCTTGATCCTAGAAAAGGGACAACAAGGTGCATCAACAAACATTTTCACGGACCGTCAGGCCACCCTAAAGGCAATTCAGGCCTACACTTGTGAATCGGCACTGATCAGAGAATGTAGCGGCAACCTAAGAGAACTCGCTAGGGGCAATGTCACTCTGTGGCGGGTTCCAGGTAACAAAGAGGCCCTTTATTGGACCTCAACTCGGTTGTAGACCATAAAAAAGCCACTTCAAACAAGTAGTAATCAATAGTTGGGAGGGTTCAAAGGCAGCATTACGCTGGAAAGAACTTCCAAGTCAGAGACAGGCGAAAAGTATGATAACTTTATCGCAAAGCAAAACCAAAGAGGTTTTATGAATCAGCACAGAGGATCTAAGGTCGCTCACAGGCAAGGTCTATAGAACATAAGGTTACCTAATTCCCTATGCCTCTGTAGTATCGATTATTACCCCGTAGATTGACGTCACTGGTTCGATACAGTCAGAGTAAAAGATAGCCTATACCTGCCTCTACTGGGGTACAGTCTATATAAAATATTTAAACCTCGCATCGTGTTGTGTTCTTCATAGAACCAGCTACGTCACTGACCCACCTTGCCCCTCAGAGGAGGAGAATCGGCATTGGGTAACCTTCTGTTCTATAGACCTTGGCTCACAGGCTTCTTGACAGGCTTGTTTGGCCACATTGGACAAACTGAGGATCAAACTTTTCGACTTTGCAACGATGAGCCAGAAATGGCTAAACATATACTGTGTGAATGTGTCGCCAGAGGCCGCCTAAGACACAAAATTTTCGGTAAAGTTCCCTTGACACCTACCGACATAAAGAAACTATACCTTGGAGAAATATTAATGAGCCCGACAGCAATAGTAATAACTCTGAATAGGACGAATCCCACTTAGACAAAATGTCTCTGAATTGCCTATGTTGAAGTGCAGAACGACATCTAATAAAATTGATCAACGTAACCAAGCGGTCAATTACACTTTTCAGTGCGGTACTGAGGTTGCTACAAAGCCGCTGCCCATTAGTAAGATAGTAACACAGCATTCTTATTTCTAATCCTTATCTTAGCATGATTTTGTTATAAAATTTATTAGAAATCTTAAATAAATATTCTCCACGGGTCTTTTTTTTCAATTGCAGTATTGTCAGCAATTCTCTAAATACTTCCTTCTCAATATCGAAAAATTGGACAAAAACAGACATTTGTTCATTGTCAACAATATCACATGATTCGTCTACTGCAAAAGCATAACAAGGTGCGATTTGTAAAAGGGCAAACAAGCTGGCTTTGTTATCAGTAGCCAAAATGTTTATTCTTCGTGTATTACTTTCTGCCGACAAAGGTATACTTTGAATAGTGTTGATTATGTCTTTTATTCTGCAAAAAGTGCTCTAGCACGGCAGTGCTTTTCTTGTAAGATTTTAAGTATGTCTTTTCGGCGGTCCAGCTTATAACCTTTTGCCTACTGTTGGTATAAGGCACCAGAAAAGTTTGAAATTAATTGCATCGCAATGAAAAGAAACACTTGAAAATGCACGTATTTTTGCTCATCTTCATCATATTAGATACTTTTTGCTCTAATATATTTGTACCTATACGAAATTCTTTTTCGACAAAATGGCTGAAAGCAATTATGTCTAAATGATTATGACTTTTATGCGATATGTTCGTGATGTAAAGTGTGATGTCTTTAATTGGTGCTTTATAAACATATTTGTTAAGGTGTAGCTTTAAAAAAAAACATAGTTCGACACTATCTTTTACAAATCATAAAATAAACAAAGTCGTAACTACACACCACAGTTGACCACAGTAGTAATTAAGTAAAGTCATAATTAAATTCGGATTAATTAATTAGTACCAACGCGATTTTGAGTAATTACTAAACAATAATACTAAACAACATTCCCATGACCAACAATTTAGTTAAAAATGATTATAAGAGAAAAATAAAATTTTATACGCCTCTTGGTCCTTTCTGGGAAATTTTTCCCCACACACATAGAACTGTGACGGTTGCAAAGAAAGAAATGTGCCGACGAGGATCCGAGTTGGACGATGTTAACGACGTCGGTAGCGCGTGTCGCCTCAACATTAGCCCTACACTGTTATCGTAGCGCTTCATCTTTCAAAGGACAAAAAAATACGATATCAACTGGCGTCGTTTGACTTGTCTGACTAACGAAATTACGTAGCGTTCTCTATGTAAACCATCACGTCGTGTAACGTCATGAATTTCCTGCTTAATTACGGACCTGTTCCGCTCTATGCTTCAAATAAAATTATGGTAGCGAATTGTTACTGATACGTCGTTACTGATATATCTGATATAACAACGTATCATAAAGAAAAATAATGTGTAAAGACAACATCATTTTCACATGCGTAATAGATATTAATAATATTGAAAATGTTGTGTGAATTCGTGCACTTGGCGTACGGTTTGAGTAGGAGATACGTGAAATCGTGTACCCAATAATGGAACACGGTCTCAATCACGGCAAAGTAAACTCATTATCGCCCCGGACGTGTAAATACTGTGTTTACACGGTTCCCCTCGGGGCTATCAGGAGCGCGTTTACACGCCGTAATGAGCTCCGATTTTATTATTAACACTTGAAAATGCGTCGCAACACTCACCTTGGTTTTGGATCCACCAATTGAACCCGGCCTAATCGATCCAGTCTCGTAAAACCTGGTAAGTATTTTCGAAACACATCCGTGGGATACTAAAAGTTGTCGAGATATGTCACATGGTCTAACTCCTAACAATGCCAATTCGACGATTCTTCTTCGGACGCAATCTGGAAGAGGACGACCGTTTACGAAAACACCTCCGAGTTGATTCACTCCCGCTTGACCTGAAAAATAGAAAAGATTTTTTTGGTTTCTAATTTAGTTGTACTTATAGAGGTACTTGACGGCCATATAATCAGTCATTATAGTGTGCTGGCCATAAGTATGTAGATGATCGAGTAGTGTCAGCGAGGTCAACCGCTGGAATTGACTTTAAATCGAATTACCGCAAAGTACCGCACTTAAATGCAGCTCATTGCCCATTAAATCACCATAAAACGACTGATCGACAACGGTACATCACCCGGAGGGTTTCTCTCCGGTTGTTTTCCCCCGTGTCCCTTCTGATTCATTGTCAGTTTCTTATTCGCCACCATCCGAGAAATGGACTTTTAATAGAGACCACGCGTGACTTTCAGTTGTAATAGAGATGGGAACCTATTGATTTCACTAGATGGGATGGGATGGGTTTCGGTAGCACCTGCCAAAGAGGGGTTATAATATTTTTTGAGTGGAATGTCACGTCAAAACGATAGCATCCTTAATGGGCGGAAAGGTTACGAAAAACTTGGTTTAAGATCTCTTGATTTAAGTAACTTAATTACGAAAAACCGAGTATTATAATGGAAGATTGACGCGGAATTAACCCGAAAAGGTGGCGAACTAACATAATCAAAAATAATTTAAAAAAACACGGTGTTATGTAAAACGAGTTACGTGACCGTTTAGAATAACTCGAAACTGTTTTACAAATTTACAATTTGCTAAACATTTCAGCTGCCTCTATTTATATAACTACCTAGGGAATTATACAGATAACTTTTTTTTTTGGGTGAAATTACGAAATGGGTTCTGCAGGTGAAACAGAAAGTTTCTTGATTTCTAAATAATTGCTAAGAATCTCCGAAACCGTGTGGTATTTTAAAGACGGATTTCATCGTAGCTTCCTTTATTGGCGACGACCTTTACCTTTAGATATACATACAAACATATTCAGACGGAATGTTTAAATCGAACGATAGTATACGGAGAGCGGTTTGCCGTCTTTTGCCTTTGAATACAAATTACCCGGTTCGAAGAGCGGCCGTTAAATTTTAATGCACAATCTATATCATTATCGAGATCATTATACGAGAGCGTAATCGTAGACGGCGAGTCGCGGCGTAACAAGCTTGTACAGGGTGATCGGTAGGCATCACTCATACGAGATGACGTGCGCTACGCGGGACACATTAATATTTATCGAAAAAATGACCCAATCCGCTCATATCCAATTATATCCACGTTTACGTTCCACACAGAATCTTTCCAACGGTATTATACAGGACCGTCTTTTAAAAATCAAGTTTACAAATCTATTTTTTTTTAATGTAATCACTAATTTCTATTTTGAATCATGAAGAAAAAGACGACAAGTGTTAACTTGATCAAATCAAAAGTAACTACCCCAATAAAATATAATACAGATAATATAATGAAAAATATAATGAAATATAAGGTACAATTTTGTGTCTTATGTCACAAATGGCTACATAATGGAACGGAAAGGAATTTGCTGATATTACAACACAAAGAAAAAACCTAATCTAACACAAAGAATGCGGCAAAGTGTGTATCATTTTTTTGCTAGAGGTAAGTATAAATGGTAAACTCAAACATGATTCAATAAAAATAAAGCCCCTCGATATTCTGAATCAAAGAAGTCGAATTTGGCATCCAGGAGAGCAATCTTTACGTGTAGGGTCAGTTTGTGCAAATGTATATTTGTGGAAATCTGGAAAAGTTGGCAGGAAGCGAAAAACTGTAGATATAGAAAAGGGAAAGGAAAAAAGATAAATTTAGATTGATTAAGCCCTCATCGTTAAAACGTTTGGAATACTGCTTGGCAAAGCTTGATTCTGATGGCATCGCTGCTGCTTTAAAAGATATAACAAACTTTATTCATGTTGTTGGGAAATGGTTTTATTTAAAGAAAACGTCGCACAAGTATTACCTCGCTCACGATGAGATAGAACCTTATCAAATAACAGGTTCATCAAAAAAGTTATGTTTTTGGCTGCTGTTACTCATTCACGGAATTGCAATATTGTTAAGACGAAATTTGCTACAACTTTTGTTCTAACAGTTATTTTGTAACATGCTCAGTTTCGTCAGTGTAACCATTAGCAACTTGAAAAAAGAACGAAATTCATCAAATTTTCTTGTTTTTCTCAATATCTATGCGTGTAGAGCAAAAGTGCAAGTGAGCAATATTGTTCAGAATAAAATTTGCTACAACTTTTGTTCTAAAAGTTATTTTGTAACATGCTCAGATTCCTCAGTGTAACCATCAACAACTTGCAAAAACAACGAAGTTCATCAAGGTTTCATATTTTCATATTTTTCTTGATATCTATGCGTCTGAGGGCAGAAGTGCAAGAGAGTAATATTGTTAAGAATAAAATTAGCTATAACGTTTGTTCTAAAAATTTCTTTGTAACTAGCTCTGATTCTCCAGTATAACTATTAGTAACACCTTGAAACAACAAGGACATTCATCAAATTTTCATGTTTTTCTCAATATCTATGCGCCTAAGAGCAAAAGTGCAAGTGAGCAATATTGTTAAGAATAAAATTTGCTACAACTTTTCTTCTAACAGTTATTTTGTAACATGTTCAGATTCCTCAGTGTAACCATCAACAACTTGCAAAAACAATGAAGTTTATCAAGGTTTCATATTTTCATATTTTTCTTGATATCTATGCGTCTGAGGGCAGTAGTGCAAGAGAGTAATATTGTTAAGAATAAAATTAGCTATAACTTTTGTTCTAAAAATTTGTTTGTAACTAGCTCTGATTCTCCAGTATAACCATCAGTAACACCTTGAGAAAGCAAGGAAATTCATCTTGCAAAAACAACGCAGTTCATCAAGGTTTCATATTTTTATGTTTTTCTCAATATCAAGGCCTTTGAGAGCAAAAGTGCAAGTGAGCAATATTGTTATGAATACGGTTTGCTACATTTGTTATAAATGTTATTTAGTAACATGCTCAGTTTCCTCAATGTAACCATCAATAACTTGAAAAAACAACAAAATTCATCAAATTTTCTTGTTTTTCTCAATATCTATGCGCCTAAGAGCAAAAGTGCAAGTGAGCAATATTGTTAAGAATAAAATTTGCTACAACTTTTCTTCTAACAGTTATTTTGTAACATGTTCAGATTCCTCAGTGTAACCATCAATAACTTGCAAAAACAACGAAGTTCATCAAGGTTTCATAATTTCATATTTTTCTTGATATCTATGCGTCTGAGGACAGAAGTGCAAGAGAGTAATATTGTTAAGAATAAAATTAGCTATAACTTTTGTTCTAAAAATTTCTTTGTAACTAGCTCTGATTCTTCAGTATAACCATCAGTAACACCTTGAGAAAGTAAGGAAATTCATCTTGCAAAAACAACGCAGTTCATCAAGGTTTCATATTTTTATGTTTTTCTCAATATCAAGGCGTTTGAGAGCAAAAGTGCAAGTGAGCAATAAATGTTATTTAGTAACATGCTGTTTTCCCAATGTAACCATCAATAACTTGAAAAAACAACGAAATTCATCAAATTTTCTTGTTTTTCTCAATATCCATGTGTTTGAAAGCAAAAGTGCAACAGACCAATATTGTTACGAATAAAATTTGCTACAACTTTTGTTCTAAAAGTTATTTTGTAACATGTTCAGATTCCTCAGTGTAACCATCAGTAACTTGAAAAAAGAACGAAATTCATAACATTTTTATGTTTTTCTCAATATCTATGCATCTGAAAGCAAAAGTGAAATTGAGCAATATTGTTAAGAATAAAATTTGCTACAACTTTTGTTGTAAAACTTATTTTGTAGCATGCTCAGCTTCATCAGTGTAACCACCAATATCTTGAAAAAAGAACGAAATTCATCAATTTTTTAGGTTTTTCTCAATATCTATGAATCTGAGAGCAAATGTGCAAGTAAGCAATATTGTTAAGAATAAAATTTGCTACAACTTTTGTTCTAAAAGTTCTTTTGTAACATGCTCAGATTCATCGGTGTGGCCATCAGCGACTTGAAAAAAACAATGAAATTCATCAAATTTTTGTCCATTTTTGTCCATAAGGCGCATTTTCTGTGAAGTGACGAATGATGTTCACGCATTGTGTGGACCCAGTTTTATATACAAGCACATGTTGTTTTATTAATCTTAAAATCATAGTATCTTAATATTCATAGATTCATTTTTTATTTTAAAACGGAAGTTTATAACAAAATTATTAACCCAAAAAAAAACATCAAATCAAAATAAATTTCATTATAGTTAAATTTATGTTTTCTTAATACGTCTCTGTACAAAGTGGAAAATCGTAATGATTTCGCGGTGAGATCATTTTCGCTGGCTCGTTTCGGCCGGTAAATCTGTCGCATCCTGGCAATAAATCAATTATCTCGACGCGTTCCTTTCCATGCGCTCGCGATAATAGTATTTTTAAACGAAATCGTTAACGCTCCTGGCTTATCGGACTGGCGTATTTTCGCGAATTTATTTTCCATTTACTCCGATGGTTCGGACCCTGTCCTCTTTCTCGGCCGCTTTTAATTCAATTAACCGGAACCGTGTAACGCGTCCGATACACGTATTTACGACTGTCACGTTTTAAAAGAAAAAGAGCTGAAATTCTTACAATTAATATACGTACCTGTATGAGGCATTTTCTTTATCCTAAAACAAAAAGAAATATTAAGCTATTTATGATTTGATTACGTTTTGTTTTCATGCCAATTCACTATTATAAAAAAATAAATAAAAGAAAATGAATTAAAATACAAAGGGGTGAGTTATGAAAAATTACTACAACCCCTTTCGATTAGCCCCATTAACCTTCGCCGTCATATCGAGGAGATCTCTTCAAGCCATTCGCGGGGGCGAATTAATTCCTTTCCAGTAAATATAAGAGATATGCAAATTCGATTCAAGGGGTGTGCGTTTTAACCCGAAACGATGACGGGATCTAGCGATAGAGCCGTGAAACGAAATTTTGTGCTCTTTTGCGGTCACTGCGTGAGGGCGTCGCGTCGGTGTGGCGTCGGCGTCGCACAGCGTGACGGGTGGTCGTTAACGAACGCTTTGAGATGCAAATGTCAACCGGACCCGGGACCGGCGATTAAGTAAATTGAGCGCCGCGCCGCTCATAGCCTCGTTTCCCAAATTGAGAACGCTCAATTATTCAAATTTTATTACCGATCACGAGCAACACAACCCCACGTTGTAAATCTTACCACTGTTATACGATACATTGTTATGTAATTCCATTGGTATTCAATTGTATTTGAATCGTTTGTTTCAATTAATCTTTGTGGTCTTTGCCGTATTAAGTAAAGATGTGACATTGTATCTAAAAGGTTTCTAGGTTTTCTACTTCTTACAATGATAAGCAGATAGCAATTATGACATTTCCAATGAAAAAGACACTTTCAAGTTTATATTGAATGCTATA